CTCCTGCTCCTACTCCTACTCCTGGTCCTCCTCCTCCTCCTCCTACTACTACTTCTACTACTACTAATTACCACTACCACTACTACTACTACTACTACTACTACTACTACTACTACTAGTACTGCTACTACTATGTCAATCAGAGTAACATCTGGTTTCATTCACCCAACCCGAACAAAAAGAATCTTCTGAAGAAAGCTTAAAAGACCCTATAAGACATCTCGATCTCCGAGCACATCTGAAAATGGAGAGCTGCACATTTCTCTCGGCCTGCGAATCCGTCGGGCGCTTTCGGCCTGGCAAGAGCAAGCTCTGGGGTGAGGAAAGCTGTAGGGTGGACATTCCAGGAAGGGCTTGGGGCTTGGAGGTGTAGGGCTCGGGGTTTCGAGGCTCAGAGGTTGAGCGTAAGGGGAGAGGTTAAGGATGTAGAGTCAGGGCTTGGAGGGTTAGGGGGTTAGGGCTAAGGTGTTTGAGGGCTCTCGCAACTAGGACGCTGCAGGCGAAGACACGCCGTTGACCTCTCTGATACGCAATGAGCCCTACTCCAACAGCTAAGGGTTTAGGGGTTTGAGGTTGGAGGATTTCGGATTTCAGTAAAGGCCGTGCCTTGCCAGAGCTATCTGAGGCTCGGCGGCTGGCTGGTTGAGCTCGTGGCAGAACCGTGCTTTGCTAAGCCCTAAATGCTATGCCCTATCAACCCTTTTTTACATCTGGACTTGATGAATGCCAGCACTGTCAATTCCTGATATGAGGGCATCTTGATTGGTTACTAGGAGCTGTAATTCCGCAAGATCCACAATCACCATTTAAGGCTTTTTCCCCGACTCGTTTAGCTGACAAAGGTCTTCAGGTGGCACTGCAGGGAAAGCACTCTACACAGGATGATGCAAGTCCCAAAATATCCCGATCTCCCTTACCAGCGAACCAAAAACCATAGGTGCATGATCGCCAGCATGGAGAGAAAAGCTCTCTGAAACTCAATGCTTCTGTTCAGGATTTAGGGTTCTTGACACTTCCACTCGACCATAAAAGGGCTGCTTTAGCGTCAATGATAGTGCTATTGCCCCTTCCGCAGGGGCTCAGGGCTTAGGGCCTTGACTGCCGGTAGGAGAGAAGACCCTGGTCTCAACGCGTGAGTGTTTAGCCTCGCAAGCTTGGAAAAGGAGATGCGCTTCCCGTCGAAACTGTGGCCTTCAGCTGGCCCAGGAAAATCAGAAGTCGGGGCTCAAAACTTCTGGATACTTGTAGCAAAAGCAGGAATAGTCGATGTGGTTTTTCTTTGCAAGCTAGCAGCACGGCACATGTGGCAGGCGATGCCGCTAGTACCGCTAGTGGTGGTGCTGGTGGGTATCAGTAGGGGTATGAGTAGCACAAGTAGTAAAGGTCGGCGCAATGCGAGTCCTAGTCGTAGTGATAGTCGTCGTCGTGGCGGTGGCCGTGTTTTTGAAAACAGTGGACACTAGTGGAGAACCGCACGTACAGCAGTAAGATCTTTGCTATAGTTCCAGGGGTAGCACCTTCATCGTTCAGGAAAAATTCTGTAGCTGCCAATCCTGGCAGGCAGTGCTCGCTCAAGCCTAGGAGCTGGGACGTAAGGCTCGGCGGTTCAGCCCCCAGGTTGAAATTGCTATGACGACTGGTATACTCATGTCGGTACGACTAACCCTAGTAGAATTGGTTCGGTTAAACAAAAGGAAAGTCCTGATTAATTGTGGGTGTGTTGCTTCTCGCTCGGCGACGGATCAGCGTATCTTGAAAAGTCCGCGGCTTGACAGTAAAGCCAAGACAGCACACTGAGGCAGGCGCGCGACCGCTTTGCCTCAGCTCTGCAGTACAGATCCCACCACAACATCAAGGGACGCATGCTGGATACTTCCCAAGTTGACCGTCTTTACCAGCCGTTACCCTTGCCAAGACTCCCGAAACTTAACCTTAGAAGGAAGACAGAGGAGCTCTCGGGCAGCTTAGAAGGGCTCTTCATGCAGTGTGTTTTGCCTCCTACTTCGCAAAGAGGAACCCAGTGCGGGCTGGTTGGAGCGGCAAGCTGAAGTCGCGGTCATGGCAAGCATCGTGCAGCAAGACTTGGGATCTTCGTCGCAATGGCAATTATTGATTTATATACAAATGTGAATGTGCTTCTATTCTCGACTCTTTACTCATCCTTGAACTTATTCTGGATACAAGTACAAAGGCAGCGCTCTTGTGCAGGCCCTGTCTGCGAAGACCACAGCCCCTGTGTTGGCCTCTGCAAAAACCATGAGATGTCGTAGTTGCTGCAGACTCCGATCGGCTGACTCTATCGAATCCCGGAATCGACCCAGAGCCACTGCCCAAGCTCCCTTTCTGCATCCGGCTCTGCTGGGAAAGTCTTACATCCGCGCTTCGCACATGCCACTTCATCCGAATAATGAACGAGAATTAGTACTTTAATGAGTTGCTTGCCTCCCACCTAGCTAGGATGCAGCCCGCATTAATGAGTAGACTATGCTGTAGGGTTTGGTGCCCTCCCTCCTGAGCTGCGGGCTGCCGGGGCCTTGGTCTCCGCCGTGCGCTTTGGCGGGGCGACCGGGAGGGTCGCGGCCCCGTTGGGAGCAGCGCTAAAGGACTCGAGTTTGTCCATCATGGACCTGGTCGAGAGGGGAGGATGTTATTGTTTCAGTTTTGTTCATGTGCTTATTCGGTTAGGTTCCCCGCAGTAGGTCGCACTCGTAGCGAGATGTGCAAGGCTACATACGATCTCACTATCTCACGAGCTGGGCTTAAAGCCCATATTACTTTCGCCGGCTAAACGCTACATTCGTGTTTGGCCGGAACTATTGACCCTTTCGGCATGGATTGAGGTGCCCGCCAGCATGACCCTAAACCCAAGCAGCACCAGCGTAGATCCCAAAACGGTCAAAGAGCACGACGACCATGAAGTCAAAGAATAGGACAACCAGAACCACCACGACCACTACCAGAGCGACCACGACCACCAGGAGAGCAAGAAGAAACTACCGGGTGCTACTATGTAGGACATGTGATGGTGGACTGCGCAGTTACAAGAAAACCTGATGTCCTGTGATAAGGAGTCCATTCCGGCTACACACAAGGCTTTGCCACAGAGGCGAGAACGCTATAAAGACCCGACGCCCATAAATCACCTCAGGAAGCGAGCCACAATACACTGCTGCAGAGCTTGGGCTGAAAACAAAGGCACCCCAAACCCGAAACCCTGAACCCCAACTGCGACCTCGGAATTCCCCTGCAGCATGCCCCCTGGAGCATTGTCCCCAAATTCTTTGGTCCTGGCTTCTCGTGTACAAAGACTACACTGCCCCTACACAACATTACGAACCGGCCTAACTATGATTCAAGATTTTGGTGCTCGCTCTCAGCAAGGTAGCCACACGATAAACCGCTTGACATGCTAGTCATTTTGACGGATTTGCCGAGTGCCAGGCTGGGTACCGCTGTTAGCAGCCATCCGTTCTCTTCCGCCCGCTGGAGCTGAGGAAAAGGTCCCACTGATAGCCAAAGAGCTGCCGGACTTATGTCTGAGGGTTCCCGGCTCAGGGTTTGGAGCTGCCGCGGGCTTAGCCCAGCCGACGACACTGCAAGACAGCTAGACTTCGAGACTAAATTCATCAAGTGCACTTTAAGGTCAGCACACAACCCCCAAAGAACGGCGCAGCTGCGACATTCAGTGCTCACGGCTTTCAAGAGCAGGCATGCAGACTTTTCTGATAGAACTTCCGTAACTTTGAATTGCATATAAGGTCTACGGCCGTGCTTGCCGTGTGCAAGACAAGCCAAATCCACACCCCTCGATAACAGGCCCGATTGCCTTGGAGCACAGTTCCAGTGGAGATGCTGTGCCCGAAAGGGCCAAAAATACAAGAGTACATCCTAATTAAGAAACAGCCCAGCTTTGCTCAGCGAGAACAATTCGAAAGGTGAGCCTGAACGGCTCTGTGTAGAAATGCAAAGTGCCTGAGGCTGTGTAAAAATGCAAAGCGTTTTCTAAGTTGAGCTCACCTACGCCTTGAAAGGGACCGACGAGTGGTGGAGGCAGATGCGCACCTTTCCATCGGGGTTCCTCCTGTAGCCAAACGTGTACTCCACCTTGGTCTTGCTTCCATCTGCTGCGCTAGTGAAGTAATAGTTCCCCATTGCGAGTGCCATGTTGCCGTCCATATCGATCTCGTGGTTGTCGAACACGACATCTGACCAGCCCTTGCCCCCGTTGATGGCGAAGCCAGCATCCTCAGAATGACCTTTCTCAACTGATTTCCTTCCGACGAAATAGGACATTGCGTCCTCGGCAGTCGGACGGAACTGTGCTTCTGCAGCCTTGGTGGGCTTGAACAGGACCTTCGAGTGACCATATCCGTAAAGCTCGCCAGCCGCTTTGGTAGCAACTGCCACAAAGTCGCCCTTGTCAAGGTAGGTCTTAGAGATCGTCTTAATGGCATTGGCCCACGCTGCCTGAGCACTCAGCACATCTTCCTTGGACACGGGGCGGGTGTCGGGAGCAGGGCTGAATGGCACGGACGAGTGGTGGAGGAAGATTCGCACATTTCCATCAGAATTCCTCTTGTAGCCGAATGTGTACTCCACCTTGGTCTTGCTTCCATCTGCTGCACTGATGAAGACGTAGTTGCCCATGGCGGTGGCGGTAGCGCCGTCCACGACAATCTGGTGATTGTCGAACAGAACATCCGACCAACCCTTGCCACCGTTGATGGCGAAGCCACCATCTTCTGGAATTCCATCCTCAACGGCCTTGCAACCCACAAAGTAGGACATGGCTTGGGATGCCATGGGCCGGAACTGGACATCCTTTGCCTTCGTTGGCTTGAAGAGCACTTTTGTGTGACCGTAGCCGTACAGCTCACCTGCTGCCTTCCCCGCAGCTTCCACATAGTCCCCTCCACTCAAATAGATCTTCGAGATCGTCTTAATGGCTTTGGCCCAAGCCCTCTGCGCGCCTCTCACCTCCTCCTCAGAAATCGCTGCGACTTGTGCAGGTGGGGCGGCTGGGGCAGCTGGGGCGGCGGGGCCAGGGCTGAATGGTACAGACGAGTGGTGGAGGAAGATTCGCACATTTCCATCAGAATTCTTCTTGTAGCCAAACGTGTATTCCACCTTGGTTTTGCTTCCATCCGCTGCGCTAGTGAAGTAATAGTTCCCCATGGCAATTGCTGAGTTGCCATCCACGTCGATGTCGTGGTTGTCAAACACAACATCCGACCAGCCTTTGCCGCCGTTGATAGCGAAGCCACCATCTTCTGGAATTCCCTCTGCGACGGCCTTGCAGCCTACGAAGTAGGACATGGCCTGGGATGCCATGGGCCGGAACTGGACGTCCTTTGCCTTCGTGGGCTTGAACAGCACCTTCGTGTGACCATACCCATACAGCTCGCCGGCTGCCTTCCCCGCTGCTGCCACATAGTCGCCTCCATCCAAGTAGGTCTT